GTTCTGATAGTCCTTGAACTACTCGCCTGTGATGTGTCAGCAAACTGATCCAAGTCCTAAAATTGTGATATTTCATTAAATTCACTTCATGTCTCAATTAAAAAAATTGAACTCTGAAGCCAGTTTTGACATTAGTGCAACTAACATGACAAAAACTCAGGGTTTTTTCAGCTGAACTTGGCTGAACTGCAGGCTGTGTTTTCACAGCATGGAAATACATATCTGCAGTGTTTAGAGGCAGCATTTATTTTCTAATATTTGCAACACCTGTGAAAAGGTTGTACGTTGAGGCAAGTTTTTTTTTGTTTTTTTTGTGAAGTAAATAATCAAATAAATTAAAGTTTTTTTTATTTTTTTATTTTTCTGTGATTTATGGCATTATAGCTGTCATACTGCTTAAAAGACATTTCTGAGCTCGGTCTACTTCTGATCGTGGTTGTGCTGTTTACATAGGGGTGCAGGACTTAATATTGCAGTGAACAAACTGTAAAAATATCCGTTATCTATACACCGCTTCATCCTCACTAGGATCGTGCGGGGCTGGAGTCTGTCCCAGCTGACTTAGGGCAGAAGCAGGTCTATCACAGGGCTACACTTAGAGACAGACAACCAAGCACACTCACATTCACACCTACGGACAATTTAGAATCACCAGTTAACCTCAACATGTTTTTGGACTGTGGGAGGAAGCCAGAGAACCCACACTGCACGGGGAGAACATGCAAACTCCACACAGAAAGTTCCCGGGTGTCCTCACTGGGATGCGAACCGGTGACCTTTTTGCTGCGAGGCAACAATGCTAACCACCGCTCCACCTTGCAGCCCCTGTAAAATATAACAGGAGCAAAAAACAAAAAAAACAAAGAAAGCACCCATAAACTGTTTTGGGGTTCAGAGGGTTCCTCTCTATTACACATAGTTAAATGTAGAGCTTCTACTTTCTCCTTGTCATTATTTGTGATGGTAGCCTCAACATATGCTTACATTTTCTTCTGCTGCGCTGTTGTCCCTGGTGAGCTCTGGATCTTTCTCGATGATTCTGTCTCTCTGCTCTAAACCACACACACACACACACACACACACACACACACACAATCACAGGGTTGTGTGTATAGTGTACACAGACAGACAGTCTCCAGGCACCACACCCGGTGGAGGGGTCATCTAGCAGGGTCTGGGCTCCCAGCAGAACACCTTATTAGGAGATAAAAGCATCCACCATCATTCTCCACCCCTGCCCCCCTCTTTTCCTTTCATTCTCCTCATGTCTCAAGCAGCTTTTTTGAACAGCTCGTAAGTCATAAAAATCATTCTCGATCACTCGTCCGTGTCCTTCTGTGCTTCCTCTTCGCTAATCGGGCATTTGAAAGTCAAATGCTCCTTCTTTTTTTTCTTTTTTTTTTTTTTAATGCTGTTTATCCAATTGTCCTTTTTCCTTATCTCACACCATATCTGTCTGCTCCATTGTGTTTGCTGTGAGAGGCTGTCGCTGTGCCATTAAGCTGAACCACTTTGCTGTAATTGAGCTTCATGGGTGCTACTCTGCTCTGAGCCTGACCCCATGTCTGCTGTTTTTTTTTTTTTTAGGTGAGGGAGCTTGACTGTGTTTTTCCCTTTTCACTTGAGAGCATTGCACCTCATTTTCTGCATTAGTGTGGCTGCCATTACCAGGCCTTTCCATTTCAGGGGTGAAAATAGCAATTGTGTTTATCACAGATACAGGTTTGGAGTGGCCATCAGCCGACAGTGGAGAGTGACTGGAAATATGAAGCTGTGTATAATGTTTAATATATTCTTTAAAGCATTTTTTTTTAATTCTATATGTGATGTTTCTCGAGCACTTGATATATTTTTTTCTCACTATAAGTATGCAGGTGATTTTTTTCCTTAGCTCGGCAAGAAACAGAGCAAGTTAGAGGTCAACCAGAGCTAATGAAATATTGTGTATATAGTGTAGGCTGGATAACTTAAGGTAACAATCTGGCAGTTTGTTAAAATATAAACAGACGAGAGGCCTTTTGATTGCTCTGAAGATGGGATGGGGAGCTGTTTGGAAACAGAGGCCGGAGATAAAGTTATTGCTGCTCAAAGGCTGCTCGCCTCCCTCCAGCCGCTGCTAATGTTTCCTGCATCTGCCTCTTGTGTAATGCATGACATGCATTAAGGCATTAACCTAACTTAGTATGCCCAGGGGAGTTCCCTACAACACACCGCTGTCAAAACAAAAGAGCTGCAACGTGCACCTGACTATGGAGACAAACAGCGGAACATAATGCGTGACTGTCTGCTGTGACACGACAGGCTGATCTGAATTCTGTTTAGTCATCTTCTCTCATACACACTGATGTTTGTTTGTCAGCAGGTAACCAAGACTTGTGCGGGGTGGAGCTGCGTATTGAGGAGCTGAGGCACCACTACAGGGTGGAACACGCCGTTGCTGAAGGGGCCAAGAACGTCCTGAGGCTGCTGGGGGCCAGCAAGGTTCAGGACAAGAAGGCTCTGTCTGAGGTCAGACCGGACACACAAACACTCAGACAGCGTGCACGCAATTTCCTTTCACGCACTCAAAAGCATACACTTGTAAGACAGCAGCTAACCCAGTGACAGTTACATGCAGAACACAAGGTGAATAAGAAAACATATTTTCATTTTTACTTTAGAAAAATATTTGAGGTTAATCCTTCTGCCATTTAGTCCTCACATCATGACCTCACATTACCAGAAACTGCTTTTATTCACTGTAATATGGGTCAATAGGAACTCTAGGAATGTGCTTTTAATGGCAACTTGACTGTTCTTGGCTATCCATTACCAACAGTGCACAAGTGTTAAGATGCTTCACAAAAATGACGTCCCAAAACGAAAAAAAAACATTTGCCCAAACCTACCACACAGACTGGTCGGCATGAAGGAAGGTTGATGAGGGAGCAACCGACTAGTCAACCACACAGTGAATGAAGCTCCTCTAGATGTGTGACATCTACCCAACACATATTCTGGGACTTGAATTATGTTTTGTATTACCAGCAAGGCTTTAATTTATTTTATTTTTTTATAGGGTTTATTAAGATAAAAGTAGTTTTTACAACCATGACACGCTCAAGTGTCTGGATGAAAACACTTATGTGTAAATCAGATATTTCACCGAGTAGTTTTAAGTGCTATACTGTACACTCTCTGTTCATAATAACATTTAAAAGATATATTCCCAGCAGCAGCTGCAATGTGATCTACTATATTGCTCCCACAAATCAAAACATAAAGTGTGTGTGCTGGTGTTGAGGTTTGCTGATCAGCACCAATAAACCATCTGTTCCTTTACTGTGGGCTCAGGTTTCTGGCTTTTAATTCTCACTCTTAGCTCTTTACTGCTCTGGAACACAAACTTTATGCTTTTCAAATATACTACACTTGTGTTGTAGCTTGGCCTGATGCTGTTATCTGTCAGCTACTCGTGACGTTTGTTCATCAGACTACATGTCGTTCATGTGTTACTTGTCACACTTGTTGTGATTCTGTGTTAAAAAGGGGGCATGTTGACATGTTTTCAGATGTGTATTACTTTTTTTCCTGTTTCTTTTAAAAGGCTTTGCTATTTGTCCAGACTGCTATTGTAAATAAGACTTTTTTCTCAATGACTTTCTGGGTAAAATAAAGATAATTTAACCCTTACATACTGTTCATATTTTATATGTATGGTAAGTTGACCAGAACCATACTGTACAGAATTCCCTCATCGTGAGCATCTATACCACATTTTAAACTACATATCTGTTTAGAATGTCTAAATGAACTATGTCACATTAATAAATGTAAATAAAGAATACACATAAAACATGGCCTGTACAGTTTCACAGTTTTAAAATTCACTAAAACTGCTGTTTTCCTTAATTTGACCCACTCTGGTAGATCTAAAATCCATCTTAATGGTTACAGAACAAATCCAATTTGACCCAAAATAGCCTCAGTGTACACAAATTTATAGCAACTGTACAAAACATTTTGAAATATTTTTGTGTACTTAGGGTCACTTTATTAAAAGTCATACAGTTTCAGGCTAAAAGAATGCTGTTTTTACTCAGTTTTACTCCTGTCAAATGTCAAATTTGACCCAAAACAGTAAAATATGTTCTACAGTCATAAATAATCTGAAAAGCATCAAAGCAGTTAAAGTGAAGCTATAAAACGTGACTAAAATAGGATATGATGATGTGATTGTTTGCACTGTGAGATAGGATAAACAGATAATTGTGTACTTACTGCCACCCAACAACAACACCCAGTTGATGTAATTGTGTATTAAAGCCTCTTTGTGTTAATTCTCTGCAGGCGCAGTCTCGTCTGAGCGAGGCGTCGCAGCGGTTGGACCTGCTGAGGGATTCCCTGGACCAGCGTCTGGCGGAGCTGCCAGAGGACCATCCCAAGGCCAGCGTCATCAAAGAGGAGCTGGTCCTGGCCTCCTCACCTGCCTTCAGCTCCCGCCACGGCGCCCCCTACCTTCACAACCAGTACAGCACCCTCAACAAGCCCTCGCCTCTCACTGGTGCGTTAGACTAAACAAAGCTGTGATGGTAGGTCAGAGTGAAGTGAAACCTGAAGCGAGGGTTGTTCAGGAAGTCGGCTATAGCATAAGCTTACTGACTTCTTCAACATCAGGCCATAAGTTCACTCTGCAGGCTGGTACAAATTAATATATGGTAAATATATATTTGGAAGCACAGCATTGTATTGTGTTGATGTGCGTTAGAGCTAACGGCAAAACATATAAGACAGTGGTGTTGACATATTAATCGACTGCCACTGTGGTGAATACATACAGGTGTCACTGTCTGGAGCCGACTTCTCAATCAAATTACTATGATGAGGTTTCTCCCGTAGCTATTTCAAACTGTCTAGATTGAAATTTTCAACAACAAAAGGCAAATGGATCAATTATTTTTCACTTGCTTTCGAGAACATTTAGCTTTTTATTCCTTCTTGTGGTAAAGTTGTCGACAATCACTGAAACATCAAAACAAAAAAGTGTCAGAAAGAGGTTTTTGATCGTCTGAAAGCATGTTTCAGGGCAAGTTTGTACAAGACATAAGGTCATTGTACACATGCAGAACATCTAAGTTCATCGCCTTTTATTTACAAACTCATTTTAATTCTAGTAAATGCATGCCATGGTAGTATATGGAACATGTCTGTAAAATCTCCTCACTGATTTTCAGGCTGGTTTACATCCAATTAATACCTATTTGTGGAGATCATTAGGCTTCATGCACACAGTTTAACAATGGGTGCGTGTTCTCACTGTGTTTTCATCTGCAATTTACAATTTCATTTAGCAGACTCTTTTATCCAAAGAGTAGATCACATTCATACACCAATGGCGACAGAGCTACCATGCAAGGTGCCTACCTGCCATTGGGAGCAGCTTCAGGTTCAGTGTCTTGCCCAAGGACACTTTGACTGTGGAGGGGCGGGGGATCGAACAACCAACCTTGCAATAAGAGGACAACCCGCTCTACCATCTCAGCCGCCCTGCAGTTAGTTGTACTACATTGTTTTCCCTCTCTCTCTTCAGGTACCTTACAGGTGCAGCTGCTGGGCTGCGTTGGCTTGTTGGAGGCGGTCCCTGGTCGTAATAAAGGAACGGCCGTCATGCTGCCCTGCTACAGCCCCGGAGACACCAGGTCCTTCATGAGAGGCAGCAAAGGACTCTACGGACGCAGCGGCTCTGTCAGCGGGAAGACGCCGAGCAAGACGGAAGAACTCTCCTGTGAGTGTTTGTCTGGGTGTATGCTGTGTGTGAGGCAAGGTTTCATATGGTGTTTTATGTTTGTGGTATAGGTGTAGATAATGTGGCTATAATCCGTACTAATTACATGGTTGGAGCTGGGCAGCTTTCATGTGGTGGGACAGACATTTTAGAAACTACAGGCTCACACATTGACACAAAATCAGCGTTTTTTTAACAGATTGCCTCAACTATCTGCAAACAGCTTCTTTAAGGTCTTGCACTTTTTGCAGAGTGTTGGAGAAACTGATTGGCACAGGTTAATCAATATCGCACGATGTGAGCATAAAAATGTTATTCACTTTTAGACCAAAAAAGCTGAAGTGTCAAATACTGTACAGGAATGCCTCCTGTAAAAGAAATAACTGCTGTGTGTGTGTCTAGCTGAGGTGAGTGCGGTGCTAAAGCTGGATAACACAGTGGTTGGCCAGACAGCCTGGAGGACGGTGGGAGAACAAGCCTGGGACCAGACCTTCACCGTGGAGCTGGAGCGGGTCAGTGCATACACATTCCCACAAATCCATCCTGGTTACTAACACTGCGTTTTCTTCTGCCTAACATCACCTGTGTTTGTCTGTTTTTAGTCGAGAGAGATGGAGATTGCTGTTTACTGGAAGGACTACCGCTCGCTGTGCGCTCTGAAGTACCTGAAGCTGGAGGAGTTCCTGGACAACCAGAAACACAGAGTTCAGCTGGAGCTGGAGCCTCAGGGCCTGCTGCTGGCCGAGGTACACACAACACACACACACACATAACAACAACATAACGGGACAGCTACATGCAAAGTGGACACACGTATACTTGCAAACATGACACACGCGTGCTATAAATACACAAAGATATTCAGATGTGCGTACATACACCTACCCACAGGCTGTCACACACACCTGTGCTGGAAAACACTGCTTTGATAAATCACACTTGAAAGGTCTGTCCGAGTATGACGTCTGAAAGTAAAATATGAGGGGGGGTTTGGTTGTTTGTTTATTTGTTTGTTTACATGTTTTTGTTGGCGTTTTCCAGGTGACCTTCTTCAACCCGGTCATTGAGAGAGTCCCTCGTCTCCAGAGGCAGAAGAAAGTGTTTTCTAAGCAGCAAGGTGGGGAACAGACAGAGCAGACAAGAAAATCTGCTGTTTGTTTTTCTTTTCCAGCTCACCAGTCTTAGTACAGTTCATACAGAGAGACATGACGCAACAAACAGCAGTTTTATTAAAGCTGGATTTATCTTAATGAGATAATGAGCTCTGCCTGAAGCGAGGCACTGGTGTGTTCTACCTTCACTGTGCTGTGTCTTCATCTAGACCACAGCCTCCCCTAGTGGTGAATAGTCTTGTCCCTTTATGATGATGACAAATTTATTCAGATGACAGCTACATGATGAAGGAAATTTAGCAGAAGAACTTCACCTTAAACCTTTGTAATGACTGATGCAGTTGCCTGCTTCCTCTCTTACTGCTCATTGTGAAAGTTTTGGGGTATTTCTGACAGTGAAGATGAGGAAAACATTTAGTTTTTTGCCTTAAAATCCAGATGTTTTATCACAGCCTTGATTTTCAAGTCTGGTCTGATTTTTCTTGTTATGCTCATGTAAAAATCTGTTATTATATGCACTCTTTAGCACCGTCAACTGCAAGTATTGTTCATTTTTTTATAGGATGACTTTAATACTTAACAACTAATCATCTTCATTTTAGACTTATGTGTGTGAAAAGACATCCTATTTATAATTAGCAGCATTCTCCAATAGTTTTTTATGGCTGATGTAGTACATTTTTGTCTCATTAATAATTAGGATTTTAGCAAATAATATAAATTCAGCCATATTTATGTATGCAATTCCTGATTTTTTATTTTATTTTATTTTATTTTTTTATTTTGGAAGGAACAAGAATCATTTCCTTTCTGAGTTTTTGAACATATTTTGATTAGTTCTAGACTTCATTTTTAACTCCTTGGTATCTAACTTCTATCAAATTGATTCTGTGGCTTCTTCACTATATATTTGACACGGATGCAACAATTTATGTTCAACAAAGGTATGGAAATGTAAGGTCTTGACTTATTGTAGGATTTTTTTTTTTTTTTTTAATCTGATGTTTGTTGCGAAATGTGTTTTTGCTTCAGTAGAAAATGTGATTATAACGGAAACTTAAAACTAATTTCCTCTGTGGGGGATTGATGATGATTCGCTTTGCAAGACATGATCAGTGCATGTGTCTCCAGGCAAGGCGTTCCTTCGAGCTCGACAGATGAACGTGGATATCGGGACGTGGGTGAGGCTGCTGCGAAACGCCATCCCCACCGTGAACAACTCGGGGACCTACAGCCCCCACGCACACAGCCTGACGCTCAACTCTGGGTGAGACATACACAGTAAATGGTCCATAAGAAGCACAGACGGACACAAAAGAACACTCACCGCATTTGATAGCCGTCGGTCAGGCTTCGCTATCAAACACGGCAACATTCCTCGAACCTTTTTTCCTTGTGTTTCCTGGCAAAGAATAAAGCACGCGATGCTTTCTCTGCCCCACGTCTAACAACCCTTTTGTGTTTTGTTTCATGTCTCGTTCGTCTGTCTCGCATTATCACGTCGCTCCGTTTGTGTGTGTCTCCGTGTGGATTTTTCAGGGAGATCTCAGTGGAGAAGTTGAGTCTGGACAGCGACTCTCCCATAAGAGGCGATTACAAGAGAGACATGGACACAAACACTCCGGTGAGACAGACAGAGAGAGAGGAATCCCGGGAAATAGGGGAGGTGTGTGACCAGGGTTAAAATGTGCTTTCAGAAGGCCTGAGCCTGAATCCACAAGAGACAAAGAAGAGTGTGTATTGATCTTTTATAGCTTTGATCAGCAAAGTATGTAATCATCCATAATGTAAGACTATGATAGTGAGAATTTAGATGATGTTTGGACTATATTTTGACACTACACACTTTTTTGCTTCTGTTATTTGCAGACAAGAGAGCACAAAAAAGTAATTTTGAGTGGCAGTTATTTAAGAAATCAAATTTTTTTGTTCTCCAATAGTCATTAAATTTGACCAACAAAGTGTTCATAAAGCTGCATGCCATATTTGATCTGATACAAATAGCAGTTTAAGTTGTAAAACAGAGCTTTTGTCAACATTTAAACCACATTTACAAACTTTTTAAACCTAGATAGGCGGCATTCATAGTGTTTATTCGGAGAGTTTGTGAAATATATCTGACTTCGTACTTACAAATGAGCCAAACAAATATGGACGCCTCATGTCAGCTGTCATTAAAGGTAATTACACCCAAATGTAACACATAGTTTTATACTGTGGGTGCACAGTGACACCATTAACCAGACAACCGTGATGCTGTGGGAATTTTTCACATCTCAATTCACAGTTCATCCCGTATAATGTGACTGCAGATGTAAGAGCTACTGAAACGACTTTCTGTTCAATCAGCGCCGCCCCTCTTCACCAGTCTGATTAACATTTAAATGAACATTTATGAGTTTTGCCAGTGAAGCTTAATAAACAGAGCAGGAGGAAGAAGTGTCGCCTCCAAACCGTGTGTCTCGTCTTCCATTTTGCATCTCCCTCCCATCTTTTCCTTTGACATTTGTTTCCTCGCATGTCCTCCAATAGGACCGACTGCAAGTCATCGAGCCTTTCTCCCCCCGAGACCTCACCCCCGAGTCCCCTGTCCGAACCCCATCTGTCAGCAGGTACACACACATGCACGTATGCATTTATTTTTTTGCCCTGTGTGCACATAATAAATGGGCCATTTGTCACAGAGGACGTTTTGACGGGTGGCAGTGGAAAAGCAGAAATGTCAATAACATAATTAGTGATGGCTGAATTGGTCACCGTCACCGCAAAGCACAAATGTTCAGGACTGCAGCAGGTCGGGGCCTTTCTGTGTGTAGTTTTCCTCCCACGGTCGTAAAACAGGCATGAGTGCAATCATAAATTGGCATCAGGTTAGAGCATAACTGTGAATGCTTGTCGGCCTTCATGTGTCAGTCATGAACAGGGCTTTACTCCAGCAACCCTCCAATAACCATCCTGCTGAGACACCTCCATGGGAGAAAGTCATCGTTAGTGTTCTTTATTGCATCTTTGCTTTTCCTGCTGCAACTCAAAATGTTTGCTGTCTATCATCAGTAGTGGGGCTGAACAACTGTCAAATCAAAGTCACAACTGAAACAATCCAGTCAGCAAACTGCAAAAGCTGCAATTTAGTATATGCAGTCAGCCTCACCCAGATTGATTGATTGATTCATTGATTTACTTGCTGTCATGCCTCTGTTATTTAAGTTTAATTTAGTGTGTTTATTTCTAAATAATTCAGTTGGGTTGTTAGGTGAGCTGCCGCTTTTAGAAAGTAGGTAGGTTATGAGACAGACTCAGGAAGTGAGCCCGCATGGGAAACGCAGTTTCTTTCTCTCTTCCTGTGTTCTGGCAAAGCGACTAGTTACATCTTGTCTGTTCGTGGCATCGTCGGTATGTAACTTTCTTTTATGTTTAATAATGATATTTGGTTCATTTCTGTGGTGGAAAGTTCATGGTTTAATATGTAAAGATTCACGAGTCATGTTTGGCTCCTGCAGGTTAGTTTGGCCGATGATTTCATTTGTGGTCTTATGCTGCCATCTTGTTGCCATTCTGAGTTTAGTTTAGTTTTTCGCTATGTAAATTATAATGATGCTTCTGCAGGAAGGCTGTTTCTTGGATTATTATTATGTGAAGCAGACTGTCAGAGTCACTTGCATATTATGTTTAATAGGGAAATCTGTTTCTGTGTCAGGATATAAGTTTAATTGGTGATTCAATTAATAATTTCCTTTTGTATTTTTTGCATTCCTTTAGTTTCACCCTTTCAATTATCAATAAACCTGGGTACGAGCAGTCATCCTGGTGTCCAGAGTGGTGATGAGCGAGAGGTGTTGAAGCTACTGTCTTCATGTACAGTGTGCTTAAGGAAGGCAGGATACTTGCTGTAGATTTTGCTACTGACCAGTGAATGAAATGTCTGTTGTCTTATTTTTATAATGATTTTTTTTTTAAATAGGACAACTGCTCTATCTTCTATGCCAGTTAAAAATGTTATCAATACAAGTTGGGAGCAGTGTATGACTTTCAGCTCTCTTACCCGCATTAGAATATAGAGCACTTCATATCTGAAAGGTATCTCATGTCGTAGTGCTCCATCATGTTTTAAATCAGCTACATATTGTAGATGAATTTATCTGCAATAAAAATTGGAATTAGATATTTTCCCCCAAACAGTTGAGCCCTATGCTGCACCCACATCCTCAGTTTCCTTGTTTGCTACGACAAATTATTGTCTTGTAATGTGAGCGGTTGATATATTTCTAACTAGTTTTCATATTTGTACATCCAGCAAGCAGAAGAAAGGTCCTCTGTCCCTCCACGACTTCCGGCTGATCGCTGTGTTGGGTAGGGGACACTTTGGGAAGGTACAGTTTCAATAATTGACTCTTTTTTTTAAATGAATAAAGTGGTCAGTGACAGTGCAAAGAAGAAAAGAGGCGGTTAGCATGTGTACAAATATAGTAGCTACCTATTGGCTGGAACTAACAGCCTCTCTGGATCTGAGCGTTTCAAGCTTGCAGCTCGTCGTCAGGCAGCATCAAGAAGTTACATGTTTCTAGAAATACAGAAAAAGTGATGTGATAATTACATATTAACCAGAAAGCCACACATAGCAGGCAACATGTCAAAAGCTGGAGAACATGTTTGTCGTTTTGTACTATTAGGTGCTTGTATTCGCGCACATATTGAATGTTGGTCTAAATTTCTGTAATCAAAAAATGTCTCTTTTCCTTTTTGTGCCAATCATTGTCATTCACAAAGTGTTGTGGCTGCTGGAGCCAAGATAAAATTGTTTCACACATATCAATCACATTCACTTGTTGAAAAGCTTTTAATAGCAGAAAAAGAGTTGAATTACAGGTTTAAAACGAGCAATTCCAGCTTTATTGTAGCTCAAAAAGAAATTGAAAAGGTTTTCATTCCTTCTGCTCATCAAACACACTCATAAACATTCCCACCGACAAGCAAGTGCACTTGTACAAGTTTTTGCCTTTTAAAGAGAGAATCAAAGAGCTTCTTTGTGTCTGCAGGTGTTGCTGTCGGAGTACAAGAAGACGGGCACAATGTACGCCATCAAAGCCCTGAAGAAAGGAGATATCGTTGCTCGGGATGAGGTGGAGAGGTGTGTGATGTGTTTGTTCTTGAGTGCGTTTGTGTGATTGGTTGCTGTGTTTTTAGCTTATGGCTGCAGAGCTCCAGTAATATACACGGTATTTAATGTGTGGTGCTGTATCTTGAATCACTGTGATTACGGTTCCTCTGTGGGCTGAGTGTGGGTGTCCCACTGACCAAAATAAACACTATCTAATTATGTGTAAATGGCCCTCTAATCTTTTTTTTCTCTCCACCCCTCAATCCTTCACTTTTCTCTCATTTTCTGCAACCTCCCATTTCTCTCGCCTCCCCCTCACCTCCTCCCCCCTCCTCTCATTTGTTTTTGTCTACTTCATCTTTACCTTCTTCCTTCACTGTCTCACTTTATTTTGCCCTTACATCTACTTTGTCTTCTTTCCGCCTCCAGTTTGATGTGCGAGAAGCGCATCTTTGAGATCGTCAACATGTCGCACCATCCCTTCCTGGTCAACCTGTTCGCCTGTTTCCAGACACCCGAGCATGTGTGTTTTGTCATGGAGTACACAGCAGGAGGCGACCTGATGATGCACATCCACACAGACGTCTTCACAGAGCCGCGAGCCGTGTACGTAATGTTTGAGGACATCCATCCATCCATCCATCCATCCATCCATCCATCCATTATCTATACACCGCTTAATCCTCACTAGGGTCGTGGGGGGCTGGAGTCTATCCCAGCTGACTCAGGGCGAAGGCAGGAGACACCCTGGACAGGTCACCAGTCTATCACAGGACTAAACTTAGAGACAGACAACCAAGCACACTCACATTCACACCTACGGACAATTTAGAATCACCAATTAACCTCAACATGTTTTTGGACTGTGTGGGAGGAAGCCGGAGAACCCGGAGAGAACCCACGCTGCACGGGGAGAACATGCAAACTCCACACAGAAAGATTCTGGGTGTCCTCACCGGGATGCAAACCGGTGACCTTCTTGCTGCGAGGCAACGGTGCTAACCACCGATTCACCTTGCAGCCCAGTTTGAGAACATGAAAATGCTAAAGGGTGACTGTACATCTGGACACTTTATTTAAACTCTTCAAACTGATTTGTGATCATCAGAATTAATTGCGCCAGTCAAACGCAGTCTGTACACACCCACACAGTCCTGAGAGTGTGACTGAGTGTGATCGGCTAAAATAAGTGGAAGCATCTGTGTGGGTTCACATGTGTGTGCAACTCCTTTTTAGGAAATAATGACGAAAATCTAGGCTGTTTTTTTTTTATTATTATTATTATTTCCATGGTGTCCAACAAATTAATGTGTCAGTTAAAGATGTTGATTTACTCTAGCAGTAGTAGTATATTTTTGTTTCACAAACACAGACGCGTTGCCCCTCAACAGCATTATCAGTGTCCCGCCCAAAACAGTGCAGCAGCTGGCAAACAGCTGTTTGTCAGCCCTCAGACAGGAGTTCTGTTTGCAGCCTCCAGTGGGCTAAAAGCAGAATTTCTGTTATGTACTATGAGCTTTACATTTTATCCCCTTTCTTTGATAGTTAATAATGTTTCTTTGTTTTGACTTCAGGTTTTATGCGGCCTGCGTGGTTCTTGGACTTCAGTTCCTCCATGACCATAAGATTGTGTACAGGTGAGTGGAGGCCACACAGATCTGTTCTCACTTGATACAAACAGCAGTATTGTCTCCTCAAGAACTACACAAATCTGTGCAAGAAGGTGTTTAAATTGTCCAGTGGGGACGCTTTAACACCTCCACCAAGCTCCGTTTCTTTGTGAATCTGAACCATTAAGTGTAAATGATTTGGCAAGAAGATATCAACAGCACAATAAACTGATGAAAAGAGATTTTCTGCAATTCATCTTTTTAAATATCACAACTATGGGCGCCACTATAGCTCACCTGGTTGAGCTGGCTTCCCATGTATAGTCCTTGATGGGTTCAAGTCCCGCTCATGCTGCAGGTCCTTCCCCTCATTCTTCTCCCCCCACTTTCCTGTCTCTCCCTCTCTGCCCTATCTTATAAAGCCAACAAAAAAAATCACAACTATCTCTTTAAATGCTGGTTTACCTATTTAGTGTGCTCCTGATTTCCAGCCATGCAAGCAGCATTGCTTTCTGTCAGTCCACTGCTTATGTCCAGATAAAAATGACTGCTACTACTGACTGACACATCCATGGTGTCCTTAGGATAAACCCTTCTAACTTGAGTGTTCCTCTGACTTTCCTCTCTGCCACCATGAGTTAGACATTTATAGCACAGCTGTACAGTCTCAGTGAAGCGCAGCCTCACAGAGCTGCGAGGATGGCGGCAGACTCTCAGTCCACAGAGAGTTTGTGTCTCTTTAAAACTCTGGTGTACTTCCTGCTGTGTCTGCTGAAATACTGTAAAGACACACTGATTCTCACCTACATCTTTTCTCCCACCCAGAGACCTCAAGCTCGACAACCTGCTGCTAGACACAGATGGTTATGTGAAGATCGCTGACTTTGGACTGTGTAAAGAAGGTGGATATCCATGTTGCTGCCAGATTTGCTTTTGTTTTTCATGTTGAGGAGCTACTTCTTCTTCAGGATGCGGATTTATTTCGAAGAGCAAGAGTTGTACAAACATTGTTCAGTTAGTCAGGAGGTGTGCACACGGAGCAAGCTTGAGATGCAGGATGCCAGCTTTCACAGACATAGTGGTTGAAATGTGAATCAAGAAGTTGCATAAATTGTAAAATACAAAGGATTAAACACTGCAGACTACAAGGTTTCGATCGTCTAAGTGGCAAAGTTTGAGACAATAAAAGAACAAGTAACTCCTCCGCACCTCCTGCTGCCAGATTTACACCCAAAAGCTTTCCTCCTCAAACTGTCTCATCTGTCTGCAGGAATGGGTTACGGAGATCGAACCAGCACATTCTGTGGGACTCCAGAGTTTTTAGCCCCAGAGGTCCTCACAGACACCTCCTACACCCGAGCGGTGGACTGGTGGGGACTGGGGGTCCTCATCTATGAAATGTTGGTGGGAGAGGTGAGAACTAACAGGCATTCTTGAAGCTCCTACACGGCCCGTCGCTGGCTGAACATTTGTGTGAACACAAACTGGTCGGGTTAATATCACATTTATCTGGTGCCACACTGTGCTTTCACAGCAGAGCTTGTAGGTGAGATAGTGTTCCTCCGGAGGACGGATCAGAACACGTCCAGAACTTGAGTGGAAAGCTGAAAGCATAAAAGGCACCAGATGTAACTGCTCTGAATCCAACATAACACATGCAAGAGAACTAGTCAGAAATACATATTTATAACATAGCCTGAATGCTTATTTGTTTTTTATTTTATTTAAGAAAAAAAGTAGATTGAAAGTTGGTAGATGAAAGAATGATTCATTTTGCAGATGCACTGAATCCCCTAAATGTCTCATATATATATATTTCTCCATTAAAGACGGTTGGATGTTATCTTGTTTTTATGCTGCGGTTTGTCTAAGAAGTGTCGGGTCTCTGAACGTCACACGACACGTTGGCTGTAGCTAACACACTGATCTGCGATGTTCAGTCCTCTGAAATGAATTGTATTGCGTTAAGTGTGTGTCCTTTGTGTGTGTTTGTGTGTAGTCTCCATTCCCAGGGGACGATGAAGAGGAGGTGTTTGACAGCATTGTGAATGATGAAGTGCGCTACCCACGCTTCCTCTCCACCGAAGCTATTGGCATCATGAGAAGGGTAAGAACACACACACACACACACACACACACACACACACACACGCTGCTCCTCATTATCTTGCCATCTTTATTAAACACAAACTATACGTGACAAATGCTGCACTTGCATACAAAACACTTCATCACCAACACAGTTAAAAATCTGACACGCTCACTTACTCACAATCGCACAACAGTACCTCCTATTAATTTCTCCGTCTTGTGTGTGCAGCTGTTGAGGAGGAACCCAGAGAGACGACTGGGTTCTGGTGAGAAGGATGCAGAGGAGGTGAAGAAGCAGCCATTTTTCAGAGTGAGTACACTCTCGGGCACTTTGACGATGTGTCGTCTGCGTCTCTTCGCCTAAAAGCTCTCGTTGGCCGTCTGTGCTTGTGCTGTCCTTCCCTGCAATATTTAAAACTGCTCTGCTGACAAACGTCCAGCAGGAAATATTTGGTTTTCACCAGCAGGAACAGCTCTGATAAGACTCGAAGCAGCTGTGGCTTTGGATAAATAAAATGTAGAGTCATATAAATGCAGTTAAGTTTGTTTACCAAAATGAGTCGTATAAGGCTGGTGTCTGAACCAGCATGTAGGACTGAAAACTAAATTCCAAACTCCAGAGATTCACCAAGTACAGACACTGGAGGTTGAGAGGGCAGCAGCTGTACTTGTCCTTTTTTTTGCCACCTTTTTAATTATTGCCTCCATCTCACTGCAGAATGTGGACTGGGAGGCGCTGCTGCAAAGGAAGGTGCCCCCTCCCTTTGTCCCCTCCATCGGCAGCAAGGAGGACGTCAGCAACTTCGACGAGGAGTTCACCACCGAACCTCCGACGCTCACGCCTCCACGAGAGCCCCGCGTTCTCTCCCGCAAAGACCAGGACAGCTTCCGGGACTTCGATTACGTCTCTGACCTCTGCTAGTGGGCCGAAGCCCGCAGATCTCGATGGAATGTTGGATTTAACTTTTTTTTTTTGAAGGTTTCGCGACGGTTTTAGCCAGAGCGGACCGACAGCCTCTGCTGACCGTCAGCGCTCGTCTGCCGTAACTTACACTGTGAACGAATGCAGAGGGACCGAAGACAGTCGGTCTGTGTTTTGTGTGTCTGCAGGGTTTTTAAAGATCATGAACTGAGGAGAAAAAAAGAAAAGCCGGGACAGAAAGTCGCTCAATGTTCTATCAGATAAACAAAGGCCCCCCTCTCCAGTCATTGTACAACACACCAGTGAGCCGTGTGTCCTGCAAACATTCGTCTTTCCTCCCATCCTCCCATGTGTCAGTGCAGTCACCTGTGCAGCTGTGAGAGGAGGAGCTTGCTGTCTTTTTGTACTATTGACTGCTTAGGGGTTGCTCAGTGGCCTCTCATACCAATGCCTTACATTTGTACTTTGTATTTGTTCCACGGAGAAGCGTTTTGTTTTTATTTTGTGGCCCTGCGTATACAGCGTGTGATACCATGCACTGCAGAAACTGTTCTAATAATGACATTTAGAGGGTATTTGTGCTCAAAGCTTTCCCAGCACTCGTAAGATTATGACCCTCGATGTTGATTCGAGGTGAATTCTAGTTAACTATGGGGTAAAGAACCACTGTCTGACTTCACTGCAGTGGACGTTTCTTTGGATGTCCACCAACTACTTTTTAAAATTGCGCTGCTTGGATTTTATAACAGCAGTTTGCAAATGAGTGGTATTTAATGAGTCCTCTGTGCATTACTCGATGCAAAATGTTGTCTTTTTAGTTGGACATTTGGGTTTTAGAAACAGTTTTCTATAATCATGTGTAGCACACACACACAAAGACGACCATCAGCGGAAAAGCTACGTGGCAAACTGGTTATTTCCTTTTTGTTTTAATCGAAAAAGAATCAATCTGAACACTAATCTGCGATGTAACAGACATCCAGTTATCTACATGCTACCAGAGTTTTGTGAACATGAAGTAAGTAATTTCCCTCCAACACAATTGAATTTTAAAACTCACTGACTGTAAGAATTGTTTTAGGCCACCAACAGGTCGTCATCCACCCGCTCATTGATATCTAAGTACTTGTGGGAAACTTGGGCGGTGCCATAAACAAACCTCATGAGCTGCTTTTCCACCAGTAGGACCAATTAGAGAGCTCACTACAGCGAGTTGATCCCAGTTTTCTTGGCAATACATTTCTAAATATCATCAGAGGACAACAGAATGATAAATGTTAGAAAAACATGAGCCAGGGGTTAAAAAAACAACTTGTGTAACACGTTCTGAGAACAGGAGGGGTTTGTTGTGACGCTGTATGTATGATGGTGTGGATTTTACTTATCTTGTGTACGACAATACAAAACCATGTGAGAGTATGAGATGACTTATTTTATAAAGAAAACCTGGAGTGAATGCTACGTCTGGTTATTGTTGTCATGGGGACGGGGACGATGACTTGAAGCCAAGGAAGGGTTACATAGAGATATTGGAGAGGGAAGTTTATGGTTGTGTATCGTGATTGGTTGCTCACTGGCTTTTGCGTTCAACTGTGGCTGAGTGATAATTCAGTATTTATCCAACTGTAATGGCATCACATGATCGGAAATTCAATTTAAGTATTTGTGTAACACAAACTAACTAAATGCCTTACAATCTGTCAACATCCATCCTCAAACCCGCCATTCACGACTGTACCATTGTTATCAGTTGCCAGATGCTAATTATTTTCATTATACAGTCGTGACTTGATAATTAACAATCCTAAACCTTGCTATCTGACAGGTTTTTAGGAAAAACGAATGGAACCCATTAAAAACAGCCTTAACATACCGACAGCCTTGTATTCCGACTCCAACATCACATTTTATGTCACAAATAAGGATAATGGTGTATTATCTGACTGAACAATCCCACAGATTGGCTACGTTCAGACTGCAGGACTTAATGCTCAATTCGGATTTTTTTGTGAAATCCGATTTTTTTTGTGAGTTCGTTCACATTTCCAGTTAAATACGGCTTGTATGTGATCTGCTGTGTGAACTTCATACGACCCAAAAGTGTCCTGAATGCTCAGAAGAGGACACGACGACGTCACACGCAGCGAGCGTGCTCAGTGTTTACGGAAGTAAACATGGATGGTAACGATGGAGCGTATCTGCCACTCCCCCGCCACCACCGCCACCACCAACCACTAACTAAACCAGCATCAGCAGCCAAGTACTGCCTGTGCGTTCCGGTCACTTCCACCCCAGGGGAGCGCTCCGACTGGGTGGAAGTGGCCGGAACGTACACAATCGCACCGGTCAATTAGTCGTGAAATCCAGTGATGCATAGTGTTCTAACAATACACTAGTTATTATAACAACTATGAACAATAACAACAAATGAGCCTTCAAGCATCAAACCCTCCTTGTATCTCGACCTCCATCTTGACAATCCGACAGCCTTGCTATCCGACATAAAAGAAGGTTTTAGTGTTGGATTATCGAGTCATGACTGTACATTAATCTGTTGATTGTTTTTGCTGATCAAGTAGTTGTTCAGTTTATTAAAAAAATACAAAATATTTATAGTAATAAGATTAATTCATTGAAAGTTTCTGGAGCTGATGAGGGTGACTCTTTAAACAATCTAAGGCCCAAAAATATTCCAGTTTATAATGAAAGAAAACCAAAAAAAAACTCATTTCCCTCTGGAGGTAATCAAAGCGACATATGTCTGCTCATTAAAGACCTAAATGATTAATTGGTTAACCACTTCCCATAGTTGCCGATTAGCAACCAGATGATTCTTATTTTTTCACTTATTTCAGCTCTATAATCATAACATGCGACAGGAGAACACATGTTGGTCCTCTGTTAGATTTAAGCCATTTTGCAGTATCAGAAAAAGACTAGTTCCTAATTGGAGATGAATATCTGATGAACAAAAGTTTTCATTTGTATTTGTGAAGCGTCCCTGAGTCATTTTACCAGCCCTGTGTTTACCTCTGACCTCTGACCTCTCACTGAAGGAGCAAACATCATGAATCTATGAACAACTTGTAGAATTTATACCACTAGAAATGTCACCTGTATGAAATATGTAATCAGGTCCATTCTTAACTTATCTTTGGTGTAGAAACACCTGAAAGACAGTGATAGCATTCCTCCAACTTTGAAATATTCATAATATCCACATGCATGTCAGTAGGTTTAAGTAAAAGCAACACATTTATTAGATTAAAGAAACCACCTTAACCTTTCTCTATGAATCTTTGCTTCCAGCAGCCAAACATATATCATATAAAATTGTACTAAGAACCTACGTACTACCTGAACATTGCCAGGGACTCCTCACACCCTCTCCATAAACTGTTCAAACTGCTGCCATCAGGAAAACGTTTCCGGTGCATTAAAGGAAGAACCTCCAGACTGATCAACAGCTTCATGCCACAAGCTGTCAGAATGCTGAGCTGCTGATCCAGATATGCAAACACATGTTTATTTAAATTGCTTTAAGTTATTGGATCCTGAAGAAACGCTCTCTCATCTTGCCTGTACTGCTGTGTATGTACAGCAAAATGACAATAAACTTGATTTGATTTGATTAAAACCCCCAAAAATGGGGAAGCCAAGACAATAAATTTGGGGCAAAACCTAAATGGAAGCTATATTTTATACGTAAAACACTTTCAACTGTTTAAACATGATCTAATCAATGTTTCATGCATTGCTGAAAAAAAGCTGCTCTAATTAATATTGTTATAATTACAAAGTATGAAGTGCTGATGTGAAAGATAAGAGAGGAATGGATCAGCAGCTCTCTTCTGATTTACAGGGTTTCTAGTGAATTACAGCTCATTGCTTGGTCGGCCGGCTCTCACTTCTACTGGTTTGGTTTACTCTTACTGCAGTTAGCCGTGTTTACAGCCACAGCAGGCAGCTATTTTCAGTGAAAAAAGCTCTAAAATCCCCCCATACGCAACCTGCTCAGCTGAGCATTTAGCAGCTGAAGAGATGCATTTCTCCCTCGAGAGTTAGTAGAGACCAAAGAGAGAGATAAACTCACAGTAAATACCAGGTACAAACTGCTGGCTGAGGAAATAAAATAAAAATCACAGAAATTTAAAATATGTTGTGTTTACTGCTTGTTTCCTGAGGCCCCAATTTGATAAAAATAAAATAGTGTAACAATCTGAATAGTGTTGTTTTCAAGCCATAAACCATGACAGTGTAAAGCTGCTAAAAGAATTTAAATATCATTAATTATATTAACCTCATAAAACCCGAGCTCTTGTTTGATATGCATTTTTTATTTCTTATTTTTTATTTGATCTGATCAAATAGCACCGAGAATTAAAAAAAAATAAAAATCAAGAAAATAAAAATATTTAAAGATATATATAATTTTTAAAATATAAAAATGAAAATAAAAAATAAATAACACTAATAAAATATTTTTTAAAAATTGATAAAAACAAAAACAAATAAAAAAATTAACTACTGTGGTAATATAACCCAAAATATAATGCATACATGTGGACACCCCCACATCTGAGAAGGTGGAATTGAAAAATGTTTGGTGATTAGCTTGATAAATGTCTAAATAATTAATTATCTCTTGATGAATGAATGCTTTTCAGCATCTACTCAGATCTAACCTTTTCTGTCGTCCCCTTATTGTTCGCCACCTCTCTCTCTCTCTCTCTCTCTCTCTCTCTCCTGCGACCCAGCCGATCTGTTAAGTCTCTCTCCAGGGTCACAGCGGGGGAAGCGATGGGGAACACCTGAGGTCACGGCCTGCGACTAAAACCTGTTTTCATTATTTATTCCCCTGCTGAATACGTTATTGATTTATGGGTGGGTGTTTGACTAGAACAACGCTAGAAAATAGTGCAAAAAACTAACCAAAAACAATGAGATATTCAGGTAAGATTAGAGAAGCTGAAAGAAATCATTCCTCTCCACTGTTCCTCGCAGGGAATCTCTGGATTTGTTGAGTTTTCAAAGTGTAGTTGTTGAGGGTAAAATTTTAACCTAGTCAGGTAAATCTCCATAATTAATAACACTGTCGTATGGTCTCATCTGTACAATTATAGTTTAGCCAGACCAATGCGTTTTTATATGATTTGGCAGGGTTTTAATTGTAATATTTAATATACTCAGGTATATTCACATCATAAATCCCACTGTCGGTCTTTATATTTCAACTTGTTCTTTACCAATATCATGTCTCCACCAGAAAACTCTTCAGCTCAGCGGCTGTTGTTCTCTATCAGTAACACTTGATTTGCTCATTTTATGTCTCCGCATGATGAAGAACATGTGATACAGGCAAAAGCTCCACAAGTGCTGTTTTCAAGGATAGTAATAAGACAGAAGAAGACAGAAGTTTATTATTCCTGGAGGGAATTTTTGAGCCAGATATTTATTAGAAAAGAAAATTATGTAACATGAAAATAAATGCAATTGCATAATAGAAAGCAATAAAATACAAGATATTACTAAAAATGAATATGAATGAACAATAAGTAGGCCTAAGGTAAGACTAGAATAGAAAGGCACCGAGTATACTGGACATTAGTCTGAGGTACAAACATAATATTACACATGGAAATGAAATATTTCTCCTGAAAAATTTAATATTAGGCATGAACTTGAAATATTGCTCCTGTAAAATTAGATATTACACACAAAACTGATATACTACACCTGAAATACTTCAGTTTCTAAGATATTACCATAATACACACAAAAAATGAAATCTCACACGTGTAATTGAAATATTGCTGCTGAAAAATTAAATATTACACCTGAAATAAGGAAAAATGCACATTATATTGACATAGTGTACACAGAACTGAAATATAAATATTAGAGAACTGTAAATAACATTGGTATTATTGTTGAGATTAAAGTGGTTTATTTTTTTAAAGGTTGGAGGAGAAACTGAGCTAATTCAGTTTTCTGATGAAGCCTGTAAAACACAACTAAAAGCCAGATTATCAAAATGTTTTAATAAATCAATGAGGTCCAGACAGCTTTATAATAAGTCTCCTGTATAAACGGGTGGTACTGATGGTGAAGTGTGACCCCGTGGTGTGTGTTTCATGTTGGGGCTTCAGGACAGATGTGTGACACGTGTGGTCCGTTGCTGCAGTGTGTGTGTGTGTGTGTGTGTGTGTGTCAGTGTGTGTGTCAGTGTGTGTGTTGCTGGCCTGCCTGCCAGAGAGGGGAGTCGAGAGCTCTGCTGGGAACTACATGGTGCTCAATTTTTCAAGATGTCGTCGCTGGAACAGAGGCTGTCGCGAATCGAGGAGAAACTAAAGCAGGAAAATGAAGAAGCTCGCCGGAGAATCGACCTCAACATCGACATGAGTCCGCAGCGATCACGTCCGAGGCCGAGTGAGTGTCCACCGGGGAGGACCGGGGTGTCGGTAACGGCCAGAATAGCAGGGGGAAAGATCGGAGAGGCGGAGGGAGGGAAGGGAAGGAGTGGGGGTGTTTGCGCTGCTCCTAGCTACCAGCTACATGCTAACAGGCTAGCTACATAAACAAACACCGACTCGGCTCGGTCCGCCGGTTTTACTGTCAAAACACGCGTTTAACGAGCGGCGCAGTTTCTGTCGTGAGTAACGTGAGGCAGGATTTTGAAAAAACGAAGCGCTGTCATGAAATATCTCGCTGGCAGTCACGTCCCGAAATCTGTTTTGATTCTGTCCTGTCAAACATGCTAGGCTAGCGGGCTAGCAGCGGCAGTGATAGTCTGTGGCAGGCCCAGCGTCAGTTTGAAATTTTCATGTAGTTTCCAGTTTCCTTATTAAATATTTTGGACTTGCCATTTATCCCCACCTTACCTATAGGCACATGTAATCAATAAGCAGCCTGTTTGCGTGTGACTTTTGCGGCAGAGTCGGTTTTTATTGCCATTTTTAGGTCCTTGACGAAACACACGCTAATTTGTGGAAGCTATGTAACGTTAGCTAACGTTGAACATACGTTCGCTGCTGCTAGCGCTAGCGGTGATTTAAACCAGACTGCTGCTTCATATATGACTAAAACGCCAATTTGTTGATGGCTAAAGGTTTCAGTGAGGTGTTATAGGAGCTGGTGAGGCACCAATGTTGGGCCCTGGAGGAGAAAACTCAGCCAGGCTGCTTCAGAAAGGAGCAACTTTGCTGTGCTGTGTAACATCCAGACCAACACTGAGGTGCACACACACAGGAAGGTCTTCATCATCTCATCAGTGTCATAGTGAACTTCTAAAACCGGTGGCTGACCATTCTTCCCCCACAGATCATCCCTTCTTGTTCGTTCATGTAGGCTCAAGACCACATACCTGCTTTTTTTCCCTCATTGCTTTTTGTCTTGAGACATGTTTTGTGAAGTTGTATTAAAGAAGAATGTGAATGAATCTCATGAGAAGACCAAAACCAACAGATCCTACAAACAGATATATGAATCTGGATGAGAAAGCCCGTGCCTCTGTAATATACACCTAAAAAAATCTGGCTCAGATACAGACTAGCTAGATCTGTAATTACCTCAGATACAGATCAGATAATGACACAATCACTTTTTTCTTTTGTATTCTCGGTTAAGTTAAAAGTCAGCATTTGCATTGCACACAGCGTACCACTGAAGCAATTTTGTTGCACCAACAATCTGTAGCCTGGAGTCTCATGCAGTGACTCATACGCATTTTAAAATGTCGAAAAACGAAAGCACTGCTGTCTGTTTGGTACTCCGAGTGTTGGTGTTAGAGGAGAAAAAGTTTGATGGATGCAATGACAGGCTCCAGTGTCTTTTACATGTGTACACAGGCGCTGTAGTTAATTTGGAGTTGACGGACACCATCCTGCTGCTGTAAAATACACATTTGAGCACCAAATTAACAGTTGAAAATGGTTCCCCGACAAATATTTACTCCCGTATGGGTGACGTTTGTTAAACGCTGCAGTGCTCAGCTGTGGTAGGACATCACTGGGCCTTTTTATTTAGACGTTTTAATTCATTAGGACTCGGTGTTCTCGGGGCTGAGTGCCACAGACACGGTTGGAAATGACTAAGAGGCGGCGTGGTGTGGCGTTTAGTTGCTTTTGGTCTTAATGAGATTTGTAGACAATCAGACAAAGAGAGAAAAAAAAAGACTTATTATTTGAATTACTTTGAGTTCTGTTCATGTGTGAAGACAAGTGAATTGTAGAAATCTGTGTGTTTTTTTTCTGTTTGTTACATGATGGAGTGTGTGTGTGTGTGTGTGTGTGTGTGTGTGTGTGTGTGTGTGTGCGATCGTCTCAGTAGAACACTGCAGTAATGTGCGTGTGTGTGTATATTTTCTTTCCTCTGTTTAGTCATCGTGATCCAGCTCAGTCCTGCTCCAGCCCCTTCCCAGCGTGCAGGTATCATTCAATCCATCGCTCTCTCTGCCACTGCACTCCCCCCTCCGTCCCTCCATCCATCCCTCCTCACCCTCCAACACCTGTACCCCCCATCATACCGTCCACCTCCTCCTCCTCCATCTTCTCTTTCTGATCTTTTTTCCATTTGTACCACCCCGTCAGAGAAAATCCCAGGCAGGTCCCCACATTCGTACTAATTTAGTTTTGACCTTGCCAGTTCAGCCTAATTGGCTCTCAATGTCACGGCTTCCCTTAGGTTTAGCATTTTTACGCACATTTCTGAAATCTAGTGTCTATAAAGGTCAGACTGTTCAGAAAACAATTCCATTTACAAATATCTGTGGAAGCCTGTTTAATCTGACCAACCACTTTTCTGTCTCGATGATTGTTTGAGTCCCATGAAGAAGAAATTGTAGTTTCAAAGATATGGATTAAGCACCACGTATAAGCGTCAAATTCTCATTCCTTTCAAATGTCCTGCAATGCAACACTTTGTCTCGCACTTAGCTGTTAATTTTACGACTTAATCCGTGTTGATGAAACCAGTCCTTGACCAGTGCGGATATTTTAGCTCAGCGGTTATTTACACCTCCTCTAAACTCACATCCTCTCTCCATCTTTCCATCTCTACTCCCCCTTTCTGTACGTGTGTGCATCTGTGCCAGTGGCAGGGCAGTGTTGGTATGTGTTGATGTCCACAGTGTGTGTGTGTCTGGTGTGTGTGTGAGTGTGTGTGTGGACGTGTCAGATGATTAACCTTTGTTTTGCTGGAGGCAGAGAATCACGGTGCATGTGGCTTTTCTGCACGGCACGATGTTTTGGGTTGTGTTTTGTTTGACACAGTCTCTAATCCAGCATCCCCACTGGTCCGTCTGCAGGAGTGCTGCGAACACTCCGGCTTCTCTTTCTCTCTCCGTCTCTGTTTTCTTTGTGCCGACTGAAGACTTGCCTTCCTGTCCGAGTCTCACTGACTGTCTGTCCGACTTCCAGCTTCGTCTGTGCTATGCAGTTTTGGCCGAATTTCTACTCCCTCTCTCTCTCTCTCTCTCTCTCACATCGGACTGTTTGATGCTGTTTGTCTGTTTTTCATCTTCTGGCACCCTCCCCTTCCCTTTGCAGCGGCACTGTGTGAGCAGGAGGCAGTGCAGCAGCGCCTGCGAGTATCTGTGTTTGTGTATGTTCCCCCCTCCTCCCTCCTTCCTCGCTCTGTCTGCCCATCAATCCTCCCATCCGTCCATCTGGAGCCAGCCGAACTATGGAGATGCAATCTGTGCCAAAGACTGCCTGAGTCTTCCTTCCTCTCCACACTAACCCCTCTTCCCCTCCACTAACTGATTCTCCCCTTACAGGCTGATCCATCCAGGTGACTCATGGATTCAAACACCCACCGGCACCCTCACAGAAGTTGCCAGCCTGCCACAACAAAAATATTATTAATTAGAATCATAAAAGCTGCATGAAATGTTTTGCAAACTGGTTTTAGAACAACTGATGTGACATGGCTTATGAGTAGGGAGCTAAACTCTCAGCGTTCGTGGTCGTGGAGGTCATTGTAGCTGCTGACTTTCTGTCTGAGCATTTGGTTGCATGACAGATACTAACTCTACTTTGGATCGTTCTCCTGAAATTCTTTACCATATCTGTTTAAAAATAGGCCGGCGCTGGCTGGCTTACACATTCTCCTGATAGTACAAGGCTGGTGGAGTTTTAACATGACCTTTACCGCATGGTTACGACTCTATGGGGCTAGAAGCATGTCGCATCCTCTGCTGTGATTCTGGATTTCAGTTGCTCGTGAACGGCACCTTGAACTGTTGATTCGGTGTCCAGGGTTATGAGGTTATTTATAACGCAGCGAGGCTTTATATGAAAAATATTAGCTTTAATGGCAAGCTATGGTCTGTTCCAGCTTGGGTTTTATTTTCATTGCTGCGGCCGTTGGTTTTATCGGTTATGGTACCCTTGTGCTCACCGAAACTATTGCTGAGATGTGAAAACACAGCAACGTTTCTAAAACACGGTGCGGGTGAATTCCCAGGATGGACCAAACCAAAGTGGTAAAAGAAAGCTCTGTGTCCAATCATTAACTGGTTCACTAGTTGGATGTGCAACAAGGAATTATCAAGAACATTATGGCTGTTGGATTACTTTTAATTTCAAGTAATCTAGTAACTGTTGGTTTATTTACAACCTGCACCTCCAGTGAGCTCCCTGCTCGTGCTCATGTCCTTGTCAGTTTTTGTCATGTTGCTGCATTCTCACATCTCAGCAGCCACTTAAGTGAACAAAATGCTACAATAACTATTAAAACCAATGCTTGAGGCTTTTAAAACACTCCCCATGTTGTTTTACACTGTAGGTTTCCTTTTCAAACAAACTTCGGACATCCCTAAACTGAACCTCTTCCAAACTGTGGGCTAACTCTGCGCTGTCTCTCTCTCTGCCTGAGAATGGTGTTGCTTTTGCTCTGAGATAACCGTCCTGTTTGTTTTAACACTGGGTCGGGACATCGGCGAAACAAAAACAAAGCTGTAACTTTTTTTGGGGGGGGCAAAAAACAACAAGTTCATATGCTGGTTAAATACTCTTCAGGGTCTAGATAGCAGAGCTGTAGGGAGAGAACTCGGCGACCTCGCCAAGGCCAGCTTCTCCTGGGAAATAGCTTCCAGTCAGTGTCACACAGGATACGATAGAGCATGTTGTCGCATCATTAGACTCTTTTATTTAGTCATGTGTTGGGGGAAAAGAAAACCAAATTTCAAGAAGGAAAACACAAAGAAATGGTGAAACAAAGCTAACAACACATCACCACGTTTTGTATTCAAATCATTCAAATAATTGACTAAGAGAGTGCATGAATAAACATAACCATCTGACATGCTGGCCTCTGGTGGAAAACACACCAGTCACCTGTCTGTGTCTAATATGACATGTCCCCCCCCCCTCCCTCCTCCATCCCAGCGCTCCAGCTGCCCCTGGCCAACGATGGAGGCAGCCGCTCATCATCTTCAGAGAGCTCGCCTCAGCACCACCCCTACCCCAGCCGCCCACGACACATGCTCACCCTGCCCACGCCTCCGTACGGCCTGCAGAAGAGCCTAGAGAAGTACGTCGACTCTTTCCTGAGCAGAAAATAATTGAGGAACTGTATTTGTAGTAGTTTGTTTCTGTGTCATCCTTGTTGTCGAATGTCTTTCAAAAAGAATAGTCAATGCATTTTTCATTTAGAATAAAACACGAGTATCTGGTTTGGAAATGCTGCTCAACACCAACTCACATGTAAAGATAGCCACACAAGATGAGCGAGTGCAACATTTTAAGTAGAGAGGAGGCGTAAAGATGTTGACATGGTAAGGCTCACAGACGTCACAGAGTTTGTCTCCTGTTACATGTACTCGAACACAAACACCAGAGAGTGGAGCTCTATGAATCATGTTAAGAACTGTGGAGCCGCGTGCGGAGAGAGTGGGTGGACGAGATGTACAGAAACGCACAACAGCAGCCATTTATAAGTCAGAAGTCTCTGCAACACACGTCATGTAGCATTTGCTGACTGGCTGTTTTTTTTTGGTTTTTTTTGCCTCCACAGTGCAGAGATCGACCAGAAATTGCAGGAGATCATGAAACAGACGGGTTATCTAAAGATCGACGGTCAGGTGAGACATGTGTTGTAGTTCAGTTCCTGACATGACAACGCACAAGTTCAAACATGATCGGGATTTTTTCTTTGTGTCAACAAAGACGAAAACCAACAGTGAATTGATTCTTCTAACAAATTGTAGTTAAAGCCCCAATATAGCCTGTAAATGGAGTGAGTTGTTGTTCTAAAGCTTTTCATACAGCATCAGTAAGCCACACTTTTACCCCGGCTATGTTCCTTTGTTACGTTGAATGTGGGCATTGTGAGCATATCCCACGTACACCATCCTGCTGACATAAATCCTCCAAGACCAATACATGTGTGTTTATTGAGGCTATTCATAAATAAAGCCATTTTTGTGACCTTCTCTGTTCCGTTGGGCTGATTGCTACAAACAGGAAAAGCGATGAGAGACTTGCAAACACAATATTGGGTTTTTTTGGTCATGATACTTGTTCCTTTTATAGAGGACTGTTTTCTCCTTCATGCAGGAATAGAACTTTAGCCATAAGGAAACTGCAGCTAAGCCAGATTTATCCTTTAAAACAGCCCGACTCCTACTCAGAAACTAAACCCCTGAATTAAGTTTTTAACACTTATTTGTTCTCCTAAATAGTCAGAAAGAAAACAATTATTTTTAACTACAAATGAACAACCCCTGTCTCATAAGCACAGACGCTATTGTTAAACCAAGTCAAGGTTAAAATCCTATGAAAGCAAACATCAACACTGCTGCTGTGTCCTTCAGCAGAGCTCAGACTATCAGCCCTCTGCTGTCTGCTTTTTCTTTTTCACAATGAACACATCATCAGGAAAACCATCAGCAACCTTGATGTGTTTGTTGTTTTGTCTAATAGTCGCTGGTCTTATTTAGTTTGTGTGTTTTTGCCCTTTTCCAGCCTCCGGGTCCAGTTTCATAGTCGGCGCTAGTCGTGGTTTGAAGATGCTCGAGAAAATGATGTGACTCATTACTGCTCTCCAGTTTGTTTTTTTGCTTCCTCTCATTAGCCCAGAGGGGCTGTTGCATCATGACTCAATGAGATGTCACTAACTGCATCACAGTCACCAATGACTTATTTTTAACGAAGCAGGGAAAATTATGCATCTTCCCACTGTGTGCTGGTATTCTTTAGTCATGGCCGATGGGGGAGCAGCTTAATTACAGATCAAAACATTTGCTACTAAATGGGGTTTACTTTTGCTGTATGATGCAGAATGTTAGAACAGACCTCTTTACTCTATTTTCAGGTTGGAAGAGTTTGCGTAGAAAGACGTATGTAACGTTTAATTTGCTCGTGGCTTCCACAGCGGTATCCAGCGGAGGTAACAGACCTGATCAGTGAGGGGGAGATCGGCAGCGGGACTTGTGGACAGGTCTTCAAAGTGCGATTCAAGAAGACAGGCCATGTCATTGCTGTGAAAGTAAGACTCCTGCTCTCACCTGTTCACTGCTCACACTATCATATTCTGTCGCATCCACTGGTTAATGTACACGGTCAGACAAGTAGACAGGTAGAAAATCAAAAGAACAAGATGAACCTCTGTTATGTGATCACTTCTACTGCCTTCATACAGCCAAATTCACAATATTGTTGTGCTTATTTCCAGTTGAATTTTCTGTTTCTCTTGTCAGACAGTTTTGATTGAGTATAACATTTGACAGCGTGTTGATCTGCAGTCTTTCACGAGCAGCTGTAGATAAAATCATCACTTGACAACATCATAAGACAAAATAAAGAAAGTACACTTTGATACTTGAGTGATATTGGCAGCAGTGACATTCAATATGATTGATGGCATCTGCGACAAAAGTACAGCCTCTGAAATGTTTCCAGAGGAGATCAAACCCACAGCAGATTGGTGATGCAGTCTAACAGCAGCCAGATGCTCTCAATCTTATGCTCACATAGAAAACATTAATATTTTTGTTGCTGTTGCTATTATTTTACTACTGATTTGATTCGTTGGGGTGCTGGCGTGCTAAAATGTGGATCTCAAATCACGTGTAATTTATTTAATATATTCCTCCTTTTTATTTTTCATCCTGGTTTTGAATCTTTTATTCCTCGTGTTATTTAACGGATCTCTATTAGCCTGAGCTGTTCTCGTTGAAAGCCGTCCTGAGATTCATGATTACAAACAAATGCATTTGAGGCTAAATCTAGAGAAGGAAATAATGATGTGACTCATAACACATAAAAATCTAATAAGTAATGATGTAGATGGGCTACAGGTAGCTCGGTGGTTAGCACCGTTGCCTCGCAGCAAGAAGGTCGCTGGTTCACGTCCTGGTGAGGACACCTGGGATCTTTCTGTGTGGAGTTTGCATGTTCTCCCCGTGCAGTGTGGGTTCTCTCCGGGTTCTCCGGCTTCTTCCCACACAGTCCAAAAGCATGTTGAGGTTAATTGGTGATTCTAAATTGTCCGTAGCTGTGAATGTGAGTGTGCTTGGTTGTCTGGGATAGGCTCCAGCCCCCAGAGACCCTAATGAGGATTAAGCGGTGTATAGATAATTAATGATGTAGTTTCCTCAATAATGTCACTTGCAGTTTGAAGCTCTCTTTGTGTCACTGATGTATTTTTGATGAGGGTTGATAACAAGTTATAATAAGAAAACAGATCAGAAGTTTTAGGTCTGGGAAGACATAATTCTTACATGTGAGCGTTCACTCTAAACACTCGTGGTGTTTTCTTGCTTTTAAACTGTGCTGTAAAGTATTTAGGTTGAGCAAAGAAGAAGCTAATAAACAGCAGCATACTGAGCTCAAGTATAGTATATAGGAGCATCTCACTGGCTTGTTTTTTTCTTGTTTATACCAGAGGACAAGAACATTTTAATAACGTCTCCCTGCAGTGAGCGTAAAGACACAGATTCTCTAACCTCAGCCATTATGATCAAAGTTCAACAGGAGCTTGAGGCTCCCCCCTGCAGAGTCTCCGGTTCTTATTTTCTTTTGTGTTTTAATTGTCTCTAGTTTACCAACACAGTGGCATTAACAGCCCCACAGAACAGCCCCTCTGTTGAAGAGATGACTTAATTGTAGCCATCCAAGCTGTTTAACAATTATACAGTCAATCAGTTCACCAGAGGAGTCTGTGTGTTGTGATTTCCTAATCGCTTGTTTCTTAACTGCACACGCAGCGTGGTATCTTTCATTGTATCTGTGTGTGTCCCCAGCAAATGCGTCGTACGGGAAACAAAGACGAGAACAAAAGGATCCTGATGGACCTGGATGTGGTGCTGAAGAGTCATGACTGTCCTTACATCATCCAGTGCTACGGCGCCATAGTGACCAACGTGGGTGTCCCTAAAATACTTCACTGTTTGTATTCTTAACAGTTAAATTATAGTGCAGGAAATTCAGTGTTGTTCCCTAGAACGCCACAACAGCCAGCTCAGGTTTATGTTATATATTTGCACCCAGTGTGAGTCTTTTATTTTAGTAAACTCCCTTCCGTAACTCAACTGGTTAAAGCTGGATGTATGCGTGTGTGTTTGTTTGTATACATGTACAGACGGATGTATTCATTGCCATGGAGCTGATGGGAACATGTGCTGAGAAGCTGAAGAAACGAATTCAGGGCCCCATCCCAGAGCGAATCCTCGGAAAGATGACAGTGGCAGTAAGTTGCAGAAACATGCACAGATGGCCAAGTGTAGCAACGCCGACTTGTTTGTTTTGTTCTTACAGATTTCACTTTGTGTGTCTGCTTCAGATAGTGAAAGCTTTGTTGTACCTGAAAGAGAAACACGGTGTCATCCACCGGGACGTCAAACCCTCCAACATCCTCCTGGACGCTAAAGGTCAGATCAAACTGTGCGACTTTGGCATCAGCGGACGCCTCGTCGACTCCAAGGCCAAGACTCGCAGTGCCGGCTGTGCTGCCTACATGGCGGTGAGTGAAGTCCCACTTTGTCTCTTTCAGTTCAATTGAATTAGGCTGCATCATCTTGCGCAGAGCAACCGAGGATAACACAATAACAGGCTATGAGCCCTTATAAACTAATTTTTGTCTCCGAATGACCAAACTACAAACTAAGTGTGACGGAAACAGAGAGGAGAGCATCATGTCTTTTTCTGTTCTCTGCTCTGACACTCTGACCTCTTGTATAAATGAAATCAGCTCAGATATGTTTCAAACTTTCACTGTGTGGAAATGTTTTAATGTCACAGATGATGGAAAAGAGTAAAACCTGAGACTCGACATTGCAGGTTGTGTTGAAAGAACACCAAGTAATTCTGTAAATCAAAGGTTAAATTAAAATACAGAACCCTTCCCAGACTCAGTCGATGGTATCAGAAGTCCCAGTTGACACAGTTGCTCACACTGATGTCTTAAACTCAGCGTTGCCTGTTTTTATATTCTTGCAGCCTGAAAGGATAGACCCTCCAGATCCCACCAAACCCGATTATGACATCCGAGCAGACGTGTGGAGCCTCGGCATCTCCCTGGTGAGTCTGTCGTCATTTTCACAGTATGAAGTGTTAGTTTGAGTTTCTGTTCTAACTGATGTGCGGCGTCATTTGTTTTTTGTTGTCTCTGTAATAATATTTATATTACAAAATGTAGAGGACTTTCACATTAAGCATAATGTATATAGTGTTGCTGAAAACTGAAGAAATGTGCAACAAAAATTCAAATGATTTTATATTTACACAGCTGTTGTAATGCTCTGATATGATGCGAGGAATGTTGTAGTATGAGTTGTAATACTATGAGTAAAAGAAGAAGCAACAATAAGTGTATGATATCTATATAATCTTAAACCTGATGGCGTAAACACAGCATACACACACACACGGCATAAAGCTTTCAAGTATTGAACTTAAACCAGAGTTCACTGGTTTAGAAGGATTTGATTAGTTTAAAAGTTACTGATTAATTTTCAGAGACTAAATGATTCATCTCCAACTTGTTGTATCTCTAAAAAGAATTTAACACGCAGCACAATATCAAAGAATTGTTTTAACAATGAGTTATTAGTTAGAGATGAATGACCCTATGCAGAACTCATTATGAGCATGTGAGGAGGAGTGCTGCTGCTGCTGCTGCTGCTGCATGCGAGTTGATAAGAACGTCAACGACCTCAGAAATATTAAATCCCTTTTTAACTAAGTACTTCCTGGAACTAAACGAGAAACTAAAAGTGTGTTTGTTTTGATTGCACAAGTGTATCCATAAAGTAAATTGGTTTGTTATGACTAAAATGTCTCCTTGTGGATGTTGATGGCTTCCTTGTGTGCTCTAGGTGGAGCTGGCTACAGGACAGTTTCCCTACAAAAACTGTAAGACAGACTTTGAGGTTCTGACCAAAGTGCTGCAGGAAGATCCTCCTCTCCTGCCTCTCAGCATGGGTTTCTCCCTCGACTTCCAGTCCTTCGTCAAAGACTGGTGAGTTCACATCTCGCTCTGAGAAGCTTGTGGCCGAGACGCAGGTTTCCTAAATGTACCTAAAACAAGAACCGGATCTCGTGTGGAAGCTTCAGTGACCTGAGATCTCCCGCAACTGTGTCCGCATTCAGAAGTAAACTTAAAAGCATTTCTGTTCCGTCAGGCTTCTGATTCGTTATCATGGATGCATGAGCGCTGTGACGAATAACATTTTTGGGCTGTGGTGCTACGGTAGCAATCAGAAGTGAATCCTCAAAGCTTCTGAGAGAGGGTTGGAGTCCTTGTTCAATGGGATGACAGTTAATATAATAACGTGCTACATTAATGCTCCAGATGTTCCCAAACTGTATCCCTTACTCCTTAAGTATAAGTATAAATATTCAGAGCATTTGCAAAAATTATAGTCATGTGTAACAGCAGTGGATGAAATCAGGTTTGGTACCTACTGTGGACTATCAAACAAAAGCCTTCTGCTTAGAGACTTCAGGTAAGTTTTGATGTTTGTTTTGCCACCCTGGTAGACCAGTTTTAAACTGCCTTTGTTTTCTTATTGCTTAATTTAAAGTATTTCCACACAGCTTGTTTTCCCTTTGCTGGTCAAGGTGAACTGAAATGTGACGCCACTGGAATTGAAAGGAGTTTCAAGCACCTTAACTGACATATAGATCACCACATTTAAGTTTAAAAGTAGAAGTAAAGTTCAAGATTGTGCTGGCAAAAAAGGTGGTTTATTGTTAGTCTTGCTGTTCTTGTATTTTTATTATGAACGTTTATTGTACTGTAAGCGCCTTCATGTAAAATATGTCCTGTTTTCCTGTTAAAAAAAAAAAAAAAAAGGGCTACATAGATAAAACTACTTAAAATTCACTTACTGCAACTTTACTTTTGTGCGTTTCTCTCTCTACAGCCTCACAAAGGATCACAGAAAAAGGCCAAAATACCACCAACTGCTGGTAAGTCGCCATTTGTAATGAGAATTAAAAATATTAATGAGATCCACTAGAACTGCCTAAAGAACAAATGTAGTTAAACTCACCACTGTTCTGTTTTTCTTCTTCCTGATTATAGGAGCACAGTTTCATCCGGCGTTACGAGGTGCTGGAGGTGGATGTGGCTGGTTGGTTTCAGACGGTGATGGATCGCACCGAGTCGCCTCGCAGCAGCCAGTGTTACAGCCATCAGCACCAGCTCCACTCGCTCTTCAGTAGGTAGCCTAGCCTTTTCCAGCCCGGCGTTAGCTTAGCCGTACGCTAGACTAGCCTAGCTTTAGCTTTGCCAAGCCCAGACTCAGTCTGTTCTAGTCTAGCCGTTAGCAGCTACGTCTAGCGCTACACCCATCCTGCCTGTCCATCTGTCCACCGGAGAACCTGAAGAGCCCACGGAGGAGGGAGCGACGGAGATTTAATGGAGGACTCTGCATGGACAGATGGAGCGATGGACTGAGGTGGACCGGTAGGTCGATGACGGGTGGGTGCTGTTTATTAGCGTATTGAATTTGGACAGACAGACGTGGGGAGGAGGGGAAAGGTGCACACTGTAGTTAGCGTCATTCGTTACGTTTTGTCACACTATCATATCGCATCACATCACGGTGTGTGTAACAGCCACACACCTACATACAAACTGTGTGTGTGTCTTGTATGTGCTTTCACATTTCCTCCACTTTTCAGTAGTTTTTCCATCTATATGTCTGTTTCCAGCTTTGATCCAAGACATTGGATTAGACAACAGAGTAGTCACTACACACTGGAACAAAGCATCTGCTACTTTAGCCAACACAAGTTGTTCTTGTACATAAACGATATGGAGGACAAAAACAATGTTTGGTGCAATTATGATTCTTCAGGTGTTTCTACTATCACACATTCTCAGGCTGTATCTGTATGTAGATGTGTGTGTGTGTGTGTGTGTGTATGAGTGAGCATTTCCATGTGTGTACGTATGGATAAATATCAAGCAGGGCTCCAGACTAACTCTTTCACTGGTGCGACCAACTTTCTTACTTGCTAGCACCTCCTACCTTGTCACAGGCAAAACATATGACTTGCTGAACATTTTCTTATTGATAGACACTACAATTTACCGATGTTCCCTGAACACCCCTCTTTGCAGGCTGCAGTAGCTGCTGCTTGGTGGCTGCGGTGCGCTCAGACAGAATTGTGACCGAAAAGTACTTTGAAAAGAGTTAAACTGGGGCGTTCTAATGTCCGATTTGTCCAAGATGAAACCAAGTGATTTTTCTCTAAAATGCGGAGCACCTACATGCAAATGTAGGGGCGCTCCACATTTCATGAGAAGACTGTATTTTAAAATGTAAAAGTAGTAATGCTTTCCACTGCTGTAGTTAACACAGTAGCTGCCTGCAGTACAGCTGAATGATCATCATGCACTCGCACGAATGCAACCACTTGAAATTTCAACCCGCTCGCTCTCAAACAAATAGTCTGGAGCCCTGTCAAGACACACTCACTGGCTGTTGTTATTAAGTGAGGTTGTATTTCCTCGTCTTTTATTCACCTTCACACTACAGCTCTAACACACAAACGAGAACAAATTCATCTTGTTGGCTGTGTTTTTTTAAAATGTAAGGATAGTAATTCTTATTAATTTAGCTATGAAATATGTTAAAAGGCCATCGTTTTAATTTAGCAGCTGCATAATTGGGAAAAAATAACGAAAAAGAACTACAAAAAAATTAGTGTTGCGTTGTAGCTTTGAAGAAAACGAATCGCGAGTGGGTTTTTTAATATGAGAGAAGGGCGTTTTAAGAGAAGGAGGAGGAGAAGAGATGAGGCGCCGACGGGCTTCATGAACTCTGACGGGAAAAGCAGAAGAGGGGAGTTGTACGCTCACTGATAACCGTTTGGAAGACTTCATAACCGTTACTAGTGTGAGAACTGAGAGAAAGGTCGGAGGGGGAAAAAAAATGGGAGCAGAGTGCTTTTTCATCGAGACGGCAAAGAACAGGAGCTTATCTTGTACAAAGAATCTAAAAAAGGGGCTAGATGTTATGACCTGTGGAGCATTTCTTTACTTCACTCTCTGTTCGTCTACCTCGTCCTCTTCGTCCACCTCTCCGTCTGCCTCGGCTGTTTCCCGTGATGTAGCGCTCCACAGTGTTTCCAGACCAAAGGCTGCGTGTAGGCTGTTGTCGGTGGAGCCCAAGAGATTCCTTCAGATATTGAAAATCGACACAGGCGAGTGTGGATGAAGCAGTTTTTTGTGTTTTTAGAGGCTCGAGGAGGGGTGTCAGACTATCAGCCTGGGGGGACCTGCGAGATCCTGCCGCTGCTCACGTGTTCAGATTAAATCAGGCCCACAAATCAGTTTTTTTTACCCTACACATGTTTTTTCTCTTGGATTTCAAACTGTAAAGTAGTTACCTATTTACCTTTTTTCTTAATCAGTGTTTAAATGGTCAGAAAATCATAATGAAGAGTCCAGTTTCCAGAGTTTTGGGCTTTTTTTGTTTGTTTGTCCTACCTGTTTTTCATTTTAATATCATTTGAGACTAAAAACAAGTGTATTTTTGCTTTAGAGATGATGAAAAAGTACATCTATCGTCCACCTGTTTTGCAGAATACCTTTCAGCAAAGCAACTAATCCATTAATCAAGTAAAATAATTGTTGAAATATTGCTGCAGAAAACTCTTTTTTCTTTATTCCCAGGAGCAAACGCTGTAGCTAGCAGCCCCCCAGGCTATTCAGTTTAAAGACCCCCAAGCTTGAGGATTGTTCAGATGAGTGTGTCAGGCTGGAGGAATCAGGCGCACCTGAGCCGGTCAGCGTGTGTGAAGCTGCCATGTATAGATGTGTAGATGTACTCTGAGACAGACCGACTAGAGTCGTACTGCCTCCCCTCTCGGAGGGTCACAGCCAAAGCGTGCTAGATGTGCAGACTGTAACCTGCCACGCTCCGTCACACACCAAACCAAATCACCGCTAGACACAGAGGACTGAGGAGCAGCAACGACGGGGAGAGAGGAAACCGTTAAGTGTCAGAGAAAGGGAGAGAGAGAGAGAGAGATCTGGGGATGTTGTCGAGATGGCAGAGTGGAAACGACAGGAAAAGGAGAGGAGAGCACGGAGTGAGGAGCGAAGGAAGACGGCGAGGATAAAGAAAGTGGGATGACGAGTTAAAGAAAAGTCAGAGACAAGCTGGTTGACAGGAAGTGCGAGCGAGGAGAGGGAACAGGGAAGATCAGGACGGTGGAGCTCTGAGGCTAGCTGGATGTTGTAAAAAGCTTTCATGGTGATACACCAACGTACCAATTCTGATTTCTAGCTGGTGAGTTAGTGTGTCGTGTTTATGATGTGTACTGTTCTGTTCAAACTATGTTATTTATTTACATTGCTACTGCTGCTACTTTTTTTTATTGCTTTAGACGCTGCTGTCACTTTTTTTTTTTTTTTCTCCCCAAAGGACAAATACTTTATTCTTGTTCTTTTAAGCCAAATAAGTGAAATAATGCAATGTCTACACGTGTTACCAAATACAGAAGAGCAAGTCTGAAGAGAGCAAAAGCAAGTGAGAGCTAGTGGGATGGAGCAGAAGAGAACGTGCAGGGAGGTCGGCTTCACAAAAGTACTAACCCACGCAAAATGTAAACACACACACACGTCACCTCAAGCGTAGCTCTGTATGTAATGGATGTAGTTAATCGTTTATAACCCCCACACCACACTACAACTCTGTACAGCGTAGATACCATTAGAGGGGATGTCTGTCTGTCCAGATGCTCCGTGTCCGTCCATCGCTCCCTCTGTCCACAGGTCGCCCGCAAGCTTGACAACCTTGACAGTTCACACCAAAGGTGACCACAACTCAACGGAAATTGTTGTTCTTGTTATGACTATTGTTATCGACGTTATCATTGATTACTCTCAGCTATGATGTATATGAAATGTCTCTAGCTAGTGGGGGAGGAACGTGGTGGGGGTGCTGTATTATAGCAGCGCCGTGTATGTGTCATATAGCGTACAGGGGGAGACTGGTGCACGAACACACAAGCAGGGGCCGGGCAGCACAAGCAGCTGGCTCGCCCCTATGCTCAGCCAATCAGACACAGCGGCCTGCGTTCGGCTTCGTCTGGCTCTCTTTGGGTTACCTGCTTTCACCGAGTCCCGACGCGTTGGGTTTACCGACCCAGCTGTAACTCCTCAGAGGACAGCAACAAGTGTTATTACTCCATAGAATAAGTAAGGTTCAAGCTTAGTAATTGTAGCAGTTTAGGCTCGCATATCCGTTAGAGAGACACATTAGAGAAGCTCTAGACGCAGATATATCTTCACTTAAAGTTCAGAATTTGGGTCAAACTCCAAAAACACTAGATCCTGGGATATTTTTCAAAACGTACAAAGCTTCCTCCAGTACCATAATAAAAATAATACCCCTCATGAACCTGCAAAATCTTAACCCCGCCCCCTTATTTCAGATCAGATTCTCACATGTTCATTTCCCATTAAAACATCTGCAAGCATCCCCTTTGAATCCAGATGGCATTGTGGACTGTAAGCGTCATCCACACTGCTGAGCCAGGCAGCATAGGTCCCCATCAGTTCAACGTGAGCCAGCTTTGTGATGCAGAACCACCCGAGTCAATCCCAAAGACAGCTCGTGTCTCTTGGCGATGCAGGCCCCTGAGCAGACGTGGAGCCGGCAGAACTCCGTTAGCTCGGCCCTCGTCCGGTCTCGATCTGGAGACCAGATGCGAGCCGGGACTGATTCAAAAGCCACGGTTAACCTTCACCAGCGAGCGGATCCTTTTCCTGTTCGTGTAAACTCTCCAGATGACAGGGGTTCGGGGCTCCTCGTGACAGATCTGCTCAGCCTCCCCTGATCAAAAAATCCGTTGTACATAGACCTGAACCTGGTGCTCAGCATCCGGCAGCTGCTCTGCTCCGCCAGCGCAGCCGGAGGTGTCCTCGTTGGTGCAGTTTCAAATCTACTCGCCGTAGGAGACGGTGCACTCTCACTACGACATTTCAAACTCTTCTGTGTGTGTGTGCGCGCGTGTGTGTGTGCGTCTCGGCGAACTCGCGTCCACGGCTGGACCCAGTCTCCCACTGTCGAGGTTCTCTGTTATTAAGCTGATGTGTATTTTGTAAACACACACACTCGCTCCACCGTGCTGGTTTCCATTCAAACGACATCCGACAGTGTGTGTGTGTGACAGACAAAATATTACTAATCCACACACACACACACACCAAATGTATAAAGTCATCATCCTACACAGCCGATAGTGGCTTCATGTGTATATTAGCTTGTCGGGTGCGAGGCCAGCGGTGTGTAAAACCAGCTAGTCGGTAACTCGCACCTGGACACCGAGCGAGCGAGTGTGTGTGTGTTTGTGTGTGTGTGTGTCGTAACCCCATCTGTAAGTAAACCAAATATCATTTTCACTATGCAGTCATTCAAACCATGTCAGCTTGCTTCGGCGGAGGGAGAAAACAAAAAAAGAAACGCCTCCTTCCTGTACATACACAGATTTAAACTGGAGCGAGCGACGGTGCATTTCTTATTTTAAATTTTTTCCTCGTCGAGCCCCTCCCAGTGTGATTAACATCATCGCCGCCTTCAGCTAGTTCACAGAGAAAAAAGACAGAGCAAGAGATATGTTTTGAATGAGCTGACAAATATTTAAGGATTGTATTGGGGGTCTGGGGAGGGACGGGGGGTTAGACCTGGGGTTTGTAGTTTTTTGTTTTTGTGGGGGTGGGGGGGAGATACAGATCAATGCTGTAAAGTATATCAACTGCATGTTATTGTCACCGCTGTAACTGCCATTGTTTTGTTTTCTGTTTGTTGTTTTTTTCTTCTTCCAAGACAATGGTTGGTTGGGACGGGGATGCACAAAACTTTATCCTTATTTATGATTTTTACACATATAGTCTGTATTTTTTTGTTTTTGTTTTTTTGCAACAAAAAAAAAAGTTGAATTATTGTGTACTTAGGAAAAGACACACTTTTTTTTTTTTGCCTTTTTTTTTTGTAATGTCGACTTTGCAATATACTTTTTTCACTTTGGACCCATCACTAGTTGTCGAGGAGGAGGAGGAGGAGCTGTATCTTTATTAGCAGACAGTGTTTGTTAGAGAAAAAAAAAATGTCTCCACGTCCTGTTTTCCCCTTTTTTTTGTGCCGTTCTTTTCAGTTAGCTGTGTGAGAGAGTGTGTGATGTTTATTCGTCTACCAAAAGTCTTTATTGACGGTGATTATTATTATTATTAGCTTTTATTTTTGTCCATTGTTTTTTATCATTATGATTACTGTTTTTATTATTATTATT